CATTTCTCATAGGTATTTGGTTTAAGCTACACTCTAGATTCTTTTGGTCTGATATAGAGTAATTTCAAATTTTCTGTCCAGGTTGATTTTGTCATGGAAATCCTTTCCAAGTTGGTGAGTAAGCAGATCTGGAGACTGCCAAAACTGTGGCCTGGCTTCTTAAAATGTGTATCTCAGACACAGCCACATTCTTTCCCTGTTTTATTGGAGGTACAAGATACGTGGTAGAAGAATGAATATAATGAGGCTTTGTGTATTCACAGAAATTCCGAATAACTCTTTTGTATTGTTTGTGCAGTTACCAATTCCTCAACTTGAAAATATCATGAAGAAGTTTCCTGATCTAAGGCCTTCCCTTACTGCTTATGCGAATCAGCCAACTATCAGAGCTTCTCTACCAAAGTAGGCTCTCTAAAGTAACAGACACTTTGTTATTCAGTCTTTTTAAGTAAGAACAACATGTCGGATACTGAATCTTGATGCATGTTTTACCAGTTCAGCTCTCTCGGTTCTTGGCCTTGACAATGGGCAAGATTCGCGGACACAAATGCACCCTTCAGATGCAGCATCTTCTATTCATGGGGCAACCTTAACGTGACACTCATTCTCTCTCTCTGCAAGAATATCGACAAGTTGGAGTGTTTAGAGGAAGCAAAGCACAGCTATACTTAAATCCGGTGTCACTGGCTCGAGACTGGCTACCACCACACATATATCTGACTACTAACTACATGTGTGGCTGTGTTTGCGATTCGTAGCAAGACCAGTCTAGTCACCCATCGTGTGTGGTCATTGATATTTTCTTGTTTTTTTTTTAATATATATTTTGTATATTATTATGAAACTTGACTGTGCCTGTGGGATTATCTCTTGAGAGAGCAGAAGGGTTTCACATTTAGCGGATGTAGTACAATCGCATCAACGTTGTTTCATATAGAGAAAAGATAAAAAAGATTTTGGATATCTAAGTTCCAGACACCCTTCGGTCTTGTGGTTTTCTTCTTTGCCAAATTTTGAACGAGGTTGTAGATTAAGGGTCCGACTGTTTCTCTATTGATAATAAGGTGAGATGACACTTACTTAATGAATCTCATGGGTTTTTGACACTTAATTTAAGAGAATTCTTTGAAATATCACATTTTAAAGTTTTGATTCCAAAAATACCACTATTTTTCAAAAGTTACAAAATTAACACTATTTGTTCGATGTTTTAAATATACTAAGGATGTCAAACAAGTTATTAGCTCGCGAGCTAGCTCGTTTAGACCACGATTTACATGATCTGAGTTCAAACTATGTTCTTAAACTCATATAATAAA